TTAAGGGATTATTATTAATTTTCTAAGTGCAATAATGGTATTGTAGTTACAAAGGATAATGTCTATTTTTAGGAGAGTCTAGCTAAAATACATAGAATGAAGTATTATAATACCTTCAACTTTCAAATGATTCTGCAGAAATGTACATATACTCATACACATAAACCACATACAGACAGATGAGGCAAATATGTTTTTTTAAAAAGTAACTACAAGGTGCCTCGTTAGCGCAGTAGGTAGCGCGTCGGTCTCATAAAAGTAACTACAGTTGGTTCCATGTGGGAACTAGAGATCATTGCTGTACTATTCTGTGAGCTTTTCTGTATATTTGAAATTTTTTATGAATGAAAAAATGCAGGTTACAAAAAACATGCATCTTACAATCATATTTTCATGTAAATTTGCATGTATTCATTTTTAAAAATTTGTAAAAATATACATGCCAAAGTGTTAAAATTGCTTATATCTCAGTAGCAGAATCAAAGGCAATCATTAATTTCTTTTTCATATTCCCTTGCCTAGTCTAATATCTTACCAGGAATATGGATTACCTTTGTATACTCGGAAAAAAAAGCTCTCTTTTAGAGAGCTTTGTATGGAAAACTTGAAGGTAAACTGTTCATGTTTAGAACACACTATGATTCATCATATTTGCTGTTCCTTTAAAAGAGATACTGCAGGATACCAATCTTACAGACCAGAAAGAATGTTTTCAAAAGTGAGCTTCCTACATTTTATCTTATGAGGTTTATTAAATTTATATAATCTTACTAGAAAAAGGTATCATTTTTAGGAGACACATTTATAAGTAATGTCATAATAGTTTTTACAGAGATACCAGAAAGGTAAAGATCCTTTAAATAGCATTTTTCCCAGTCATCGAATTGCTTATACTTTATGGACCTTTCTTTCAGTGTCCTTTCTTCATTTAAAATAGCACTAATCCAAAAAAGCAAAAGCAAAAAGCAAACATAGACACCAACTTTCAGTCTTCTTTCCAGAGCTGGAATCACCAAATAACGATTGTCTTCTTTGTCTTCAAATAAATCATCTTCATTGCAATCCAATGTTTCACTCTAATAAAAAAAGATACACTAAAATTGAAATTTTGAAAGAAATTGAAAATTCTTAAGATTAAGAATATACAATTAGGGGCGACCAGTTAGCTCAGCTGGTTGGAGCGTGGTACTGATAGCACCAGGGTTGCCAGTTCAGANTTTTAAAATAACATACAACAGCCTCCAAACAGGCACACTTTTTTATGCGAATAAACTCTGTGCTAGGATTGATTCTTAACTACTGGGGGAAAACAATGGATCTGAACTGGGCTTAGAGCAATCCGTTCCTTAGTTGTAGCAGATAAATAGATTTTGGCACTAAGGACGAAACACTCAGGAAATACATTTTGCTACTGAAAAATTTAAAAATCATGTTGTACTGATAGAACCTGTTTCATTTCAGATGGATATCTGAGACTGTTCAAGTATTAATCCAGCTTTTAATACAAATGTTTTTCTAGATTAAAAAAACAAAATGCATGCTGTTTTTGAATTCCTTTCTTTTAAATGCCATTGTAAGGCAGGTAAATTATTTTTCTTTTTATCAATAAATAGAAGTTGGAGAGTGAAGACGGAGTTATATTTTACCTCAGTGCACAAAGTATGGTAAGTGTCTAGCTAATATTTTCAAACTTCATCTGTTGACCTAGTTCTGTGGGCTCCACATCATTCACACGCCATCACTCATCTACTGAGTAATTCGTAATTTATGGGAAGGGAGATATACCCCTCAGGGGCAGAGCAAATCTGAGACTGCTGGAGCGGTAGGGAATGCAGAGAGGACTATGTGAGCAGGCTGACAATGAGGGCCCCCTCCGAAATGATCTGTGCTCTCTCTTCCCTACTCCCCTCATCAGGCCCTTTACTATAGGACTAAATGGTGAATTACCAGAACTCTTAAATATTCTGTTATGAAGTTTTGTTATAAAACTATGAAAATGAGCACATGGTAAGAAATTTAAATAACAGAAAAGTACATCTCACCTTCCCTTCCTAGACCCTCAATCCCATTTGCACAGCCAACAGATTGTTTATCTTCCCAGAATTTTGCCAAGTATAATATATGTTAAGGAATACGTTCCTCCTCTTTCTAACAAACATACAAACAAAACCAAGTCCAGGGGCATACTATACTGCGTGACACCAAACCTTGCTTTGCCCCCTCTTTATCGTGGCCTCTCTCATACATGCAGAAGAGTGCATAAAACAAATAATGGTTTACAGACTAATAACGAAGTCACCACCCATGGAACCACACCCAAGTCAACTCCCCAATCACGAACCTCTCTTTCTCCACTGGAGTTGCAACACTACCCTGACCTTTAAGATAACTTCATTGTTTGTCTTCATAATTTTGCCATCAGTATATGAATTTCTAAAGACTATTTTTAGTTGTGTGTGTTTGGCTTCTGAGCTTTTTCTAAATGGCATCATTCTGTATGTATCAGGTTTTAGAGTCATCCATTTGTCACTAGTAGCTGCAGTTCACACCTTTCACTGACCTTCGCAGTCCATCGCGTAACTATACCAGTTTACTTCTCCAGTCTGCAGCACATGGATATCTGGGTTACGTCTAGCTGTGAACATTCCTGTACATGCGCACGGGCTTCTCCAAGGTCTGTCCCCCTTTCCCCTCCAACAACTGGTTGGAAAACAAATTTTGTGGGGGAAAGAACAGTGAAATGGACTCTAGTTCTTGCTCTGCAGTCACTGAACCTTTCTGCCTCTCCATTTGTTTTCTCCCATGTAAAATGGGGGCGAGGGTAGACTTGTTAATCTCTAAAAGGCCTTCCAACACTTGGAAATGGTGTATCCACATTGAGAGCTAGTGACAACGTGGAGACCTGAGACAAAACGGACACTCAACTATCTCTTATTCCACACCTCCATATGTCCCTGCCTTCCCTCTATGTTCTTTTCACATTTTACTTCTTTGTCTCTGTGCTACCTTCTAATTTTTCAAACACAGTCTATGAAAGAGGTCTTCCAAAACTGCTTCAGAAAGTGCCAAGAATGATGGGATAAGTGTGTTTGAAGCGAAAGGGAGTATTTTGAGGGGGGTTAATGGCAATGTGTCTTTTACTGTAACCAATTTTTTTTTATTTAACCATTCACTGTATTTGGTGATCACACCTCGTATATCTGTTTCTGCCAGGTACTCAAGGTACTACTGCTTTAATGCAAATGCTCCTGGGGCAAAAGTAGCATCAGTGA